GACAAATCCTGGGAGAATGGACATGTCCAAGCAGAGCTACAGGGACCACAGCAGAGCAGGTAACAGCTACAGTGGTACCTGGAAATTTAATGGTAGTACCTAGGTAGTACCCAGGCTCTTCTTGGAAAAAAACTCCTTTTGTCATTGCTAAGATTACTTGAATAAGACTAGTGGGAGCAAGACTATGTCAGTAAGGTGAAGGAAGAAATATGGATACAGCCAAAAGTTGTCCAAGGAGAAGAACAACAGGAGGTCAGAAAGCCTTGCCATGGCTAGTTATAGAACAGTGTCCAAAATCTTCAACTAAATTTCATATCAGGATTAATTATTCCCTTAATTACTAGACAACATGTTATTTGTTAAATGAATATTGAAACTATCATATTATTTGTGACCAAACTTTGTGTTGTATATGTTTTCCCCTCAACAGCTGTTAAAGTCAGTGGTACCTTCTCTTCACCTCACCCTTGATTTCTACGTAAGTAAGGTTAATAATTGTACAGTCCTACATTCAGGAGGAGGAGTATCTGTAAACTTGAGCTCACTAAAATGAAATCAAATTCCACAGAAGAGAAGTTTCAATTAAAATCTTCATCTCCTAACTTTTTCCTTACCATGTATTAGCTAACATGAAGTAAACCCCAGGTATTTTCCACTGTTGAAGACGCCTGAAAGTATGAATCTCTTGGTTCACAATTTAATCTGTCCCTTTATACATTTTATTTGCCATGTCTTACTCTCCTGCCATGTCAGTATGTTCTGAGATATGTGGCTAGGCCTGCTGGGTGGGATTATTCAGGCTGCTGTAGAGCACATGGTGTGCTTGGGTCAGAGCAGAGGGAACCCCGTGCCTTGGGTTCTGTCAGCAGTACCCTGTGGTTGAAGCTGTTCATGGGAGAAGAGAGAAATGGGAGAAGTGTTAAAGATGGGCTGCCCCAAAAAGAAAGAGGGAGGAAGAGAGTGGAGAGAGAGAAGAACTGCTGTGAAAAGTGAGGGGGAAATACAAGAAAGGTGGAAAATGAAGGGCCTCCTTTTCTTGGTTAGTTGTCTTTGGAGGAACAACCAGAGATTATACATTAAAAAGCATCTGATAAGAGTGTACAATTACATTTCTTCAAATATCCCACATCTTTCTCTGAAAGTAAGTTTATACCACAGTAAATTTAATATTTAAAATAGAACTGTTCCTTGGTGTTCTGTGATAGCCAAAGTGGTCCGGTTTTTATCAAAGGGTACTTCCCCATGCTCATATAACTCTAAAGTGCTTTAAATGTGTTAAAATGGTTGTGATACAGATCCAATTTTACAGATATAGTTGTAGAACCAACTCTGTAAATATTCTGCTTAAGGTAAAATGTTTTGAGAAACTAGTCAATGAAAGTAACAGTAGAGACTAGAAAGAAAACCTGAATTCAAGATTGCTTCTCGAAACAAGAAATAGATAAAAATGTCTATTCAACACCTTACTGAATACAGTAATAACAGGGATAACCATTATATCTCAAGCAACAGACATCTATAATCTTGTATAATAAAGAAACTTTGCAACATGTATCATACAAGATGAGTCAGAAGCAGTGTTTCAATGAAATTATATACCTTGAGGAAGACTTTTCTTTTCCTCCTACTTTCTACTGTGATTATTGGATTAGAACCTTTCCTGAAAGGAAATCAGGGACTATAATAAAGTGTCAAAATTCAGTTTAATGTGTAGTGGAATAGCAGAGAGAGAGATGCATCTTGCTAGGAGCCAAGCACGGCACTGAGAAGTCGTTTCACCACAGCTCAGTGCAAGAGGAGAGCTAAATTCAGGAGTGCTCTTCAGTTCCCGAGGTGTGCTGGAGCAGCTGGAATTAATCTACAGCACAAACTGCCGGGCATTACTGTTTGTTTTTGCTTTAGCTGCAAACTCCATTTTGTATTGTTTTACCCAACTGCCTGATAATACACTGCCAGGACAGGGAAACATTAATCACAACCAGTCTTGTAAACAAGGACTGAAACCTTAATTTACAGGTGAGGAAAAGAAAAATAAATGGATGAGGGGTGGGAAAGGGAATGCAGCCTGCAATGAGATGATATTCTGTGTATGACCTAACTCTGTCCTCAGTGCAATTTTAGCTTATTGCTGGGTTTGTATACATTCCTTCCTTCAAAAATTCTCACCTCACTGGATAACCTTGTACTTTTGCAGTATTCCAGCCAGATTGGGGTTCTTAGGGAACAGTCCTCATGGCTGTAGCATTAGTATATCAAGTACTTGTAAAACTCAGGTTCAGAACATGCCAAAGATCTCTAAGAAACAGTTTGACAAAAGGTTTGATTTAAACTACACTTTTAAGGAAAAATTAAATGTTCAAAGGCTCAAAATAAACTTTCCTCTATCCAAGTGTAGGACAGAGTCAAAATCCAGTCAAAACTTTCCAGTCTCAGATGCTCACAGCCAATACAAGAGTTTTAGCAATTGTGCTGGTCCCACTTTTTTCTCCTCCCCATCCCCTTAATAAAAAAAAAAATAAATGAAAGGAAAAAAAAGAAAGAAAAATGCCTTGGTTTAATTACCATATGAAACATTGTTTCTAATACTCAATACAGAACAAAAGAAGAGTTTTCTGAGCAATTTAATGCTGAGCATGCCAGACAGCAACAAAATTGTCTCTTGAGCTGTTACCTGAGAGGCACATCTTGAAAAAAATTAATTATAGACTACATAATAATAACTAGTAGTCATCATAGCCTGGTTGTTTAAGCAAGAATTGAATCTTTTTTTTTTTCTGGTTTGTTTCTAAATGCAATGGAAATGTATTACTGTACAACAACATCACTGATTAACACTGTTTTAATTAACCTCTAACAATAACCTGAAAATGACAAGTGTATACACCTCTTTAATCAAGCATTTTGTTTTCTATTAAGTGCAATTCCTTCACATGTTACAAAACTACAATATGAGGCTGAACAAAGGGTCAGCATGTTTCTTAACACTTTAATTGGAATAAAATACAGTCATTTATACAAATGTCTGTGAGTTCAACTGAAATTTTGCCACATAACTCACGTACTAACTGAGGAAAAAAAAGTTTAATTACTTTATTTTCCATTCATTGTTTCCCAGTTTTATCAGTGGGGGGGGGGTATGACCTTCATGTGTATTCTGAAAACTACAGTGAAAGGGGTTAAGCAAACTTTTTCTTAAACATTACACATTTTTACTTAAACTTACATCTTTAATTTAAACAGCTCCAAGATTAGTTGTGGACTGATTATGTGGAAAAACGCACATGAAAAGCAAATGGTAAATGTCAAAGTATGTAAAAAATCAAGATGGCAGCACAAGTTTGGGCTGCTCTGTCTCACGAATTTTTTTTGACAAGTCAAGTCATTAAGAGGGGCCAGAAAAATCTGCACATCTATGACTTTCGTCTCAACAACCATTTTGAGGGAGAATCAACTTAATACATTACATAGAGGTGCATATTTGCACAACAGAAGTCTTTATAGACCCTGTCACACCTAATACTTCCCTCCTGTTAGCAAACACTGCCATATGTCTGCAAACACCTCACTAGTTGCCTCTCTAGAACTGTTCATAATTTGTCCAATTCCCACAGTTTAGAGTTCTTTCTACTGATTAACCATCAGTATAGTATTTTATTACTATTTTATCACAGCAATTGCTGACAGACACTCCTCTCTGTCTCCTTGTTTTGATTTTGACTGTTTATTGCAGCAGTGAAGAGATCCTTATGAAATACTGACTTGGAATACTACTGAAATACATGTCCTTACAATGCACTTAGTTTTCTGATGCATTTTTTCCCAGCGTAGAACCTCAAATCGGATACAGTGCCGCAGCAGTGTTAATATTGATGTTTTATTTGGAACAGCTCCTTATATAGATGAACCTCTTCTGTTTATACATTCTAACTAGGACAGGGGCATTCTTTACAGAAAATCGATAAAATTATATACAATTTCGTATATATATACGCATGCGTGTTTGCTAATTGGGCTTGTTTTGACAGACATGTAACAGGTAGTAGAGCAGCTCTGACAGGCATTTGAGCAGTGACCTCCAGCACTACTGGTTTTGAAAAGAGGATGTTTCCTATCCCTACTCCTCATGTAGAACAGGTCTGACATAGCTTTCATGGCTCATATATTAAATTCTTCCTTCTCATGTTCACTGCATTTTTCTGTTGTGGATAGGGATCATGTTTTGTTGTGTTTGTTTCCCTGTACATACACTGTAATTTTTTTTTCTGACAATGTCCCTTGGTTCATGTGGTTCAAAGCTTGAGAACAGATTTCTGAGCATGGTAAAAAATTATCTGAGGCCCAATTCCTGTGACGTGGTTGTAGATACCGTATTTTTTTTTTTTTTTGATGACACTTGTAAACCACAAGTCCTTAGCACCTTCCTTTCCTTCACTTCTGGATCAGGGGAGAGAGATGCTGCAGTACGGCAGCACTTCAGTTCTCACTACACGTGTAGAACATTTTGGAATCACCTTGTGATAGTTCCAGTCTAGCTGAAGACACTGTGGAGACCACCAGAGTGCTGAAGGCAGCCTAGGTGTGCCCAGGGGTGCCCGTGACGCCGCTCTGGGAGCACTGCCCTGTTCGCTCCAGCCCGGCTCCCTCAGCGCTTCCCTCACCTCCTCCTCCCCCTCATGGCCAGCACCGCGCCCGCCCTGCCCCGTCCCTGTGCTGCCTCAGCCCTTCCCGCCGCGGCGGGCACCCCGCCAGCCGCCTCCGCACAGCGAGGGAAAACAAACCCGGCTGTCAGGCGGCCTCCACCGGCAGCGCGCGGGTTTCTTCCTCAGCGGATTGTTGTGGTCACCCCGCTCCGTCCCGGCGCGGTTCGCCGCAGCCCGAGCTGAGGAGGCGCGGGGCGCCCTCCCCTCCCTTTGGGGGGCCATAGATGTCTGTCGGGGAGGTCCCGGCGCGCAGCACTCCCACAGGCAGAGCAAAGGCCGCGGGCGGGCGGGGAAGCGGCGGGAAGCCCCGGGCTCACCTGCGCGAGCGCCCCCCGCCTGGCTCCTCCCCGGCCCGGCCCCGGCGCCCCCTCCCCCGCTGGAGGGGCGGGCAGTCCGCGCTCGGCTTCGGCGGCGAGCGTGGCTGGCGGGGCAGCGGAGAGAGTGGCACGGAGTTGGCGGGGATCTCCCTGCGAGAGAGGCGGCCCGGGACGGGTGAGGAGAGCGGCGGCGGGCGGTCTGGGGGCCGAGGGGGCAAAGTGTCGCCCGGCTGTCCCCGCCGCGGCGGCCAGGGCCGGGCGGGCACGGGGCTGTGACGGGAGCGCGGCGGGCACGGGGGCGGTGGCGTCGCGGGGCTGCTGCCCGCGCTGTGGGGGCGGCTGCCGAGGCGCCCCGGGTCGCTGCCTCCCTCTGCTCCGTTAAACGCGCGCATTCCCAAAGGCCGAGGGTGCCGGGCCGTCCCCGCACGCCCGGGAGCCGCTGGAGCTGTGCCGGGGCTGCGCTTCCCCCGGGCGCTCCTCGGGGCTGTGCTGGCCGAGCGGCCGGGCGGGCTGAGCGGCGGAGGGGAGAGCGGACTCCGGTAAGACCCGAGTCTGTCTCCGTTTCTCCTGGGGGCTGTCAAGAGCGGGGTCCTCCCGCCGAGCGGCTGCCCCGGAGCCGCGGCTGGAGGTGCTGCTGCCGGCCCTGCGTTCCAGGTGGGCGGGCGCGGCCGGAGCCCCCGCGGGGAGCGGGGACCGCCTGCCCGCGCGCATTCCTGCGGGGATTCCTGGCATTCCTGGGCTCTCGGCACTCTTGACTTCTTCATCTCCCTTTTATTCCGCAATTTAGCGTGGTGGTGTTTGGTGTTTTTTTGTTGGTTTTTTTTGTTTGTTTGTTTGGTTTTTTTTGGGTTTTTGTTTGTTTTTTTTTGTTTTTTTTTTTTTTTTGTTTTGGTTTTTTTTTTTTTTTTTTTTTTTTTTTTTGCGAAAGGGTGTGTCCGCGTTGTGTGTGTTCGCTTCTGCTTGGGAAAAGCTTAGAACGGCAGTTCTGCCATTTGTTCTTCTTCCCAATTAACTTTGCATCTGATATAATTTATATCCTCCCCATTTGATGACAACTTTATGCGGAGATCAGTGCTGCGATATAACTTTTGTGGTGAGTTTGCATGAACGTTTGCAGTTGACAGAAGAATAGTTCTTGCAGCTCTTATCTTGCTCCTGTTTTTAGCATGTAAATTTTTTTTTTAAATTACTACAGTGTACACTGAATAATTAGCAAAATAGAAATAGTAGAAACCTATTCTTGAAAGTTGTTCTATTTTTCTGAACATATAAGGTATGTTTAACTTGCTTGGACTCATATAAGTGAATCCTGCAGATGAATCAGAAAACCCCTGGAATATCCTGATTTGTGGTACATCCGTAGGAATTTGATAGATTTGGTGTCTGACGCTTATGCTGACAACTGTCACATGTTTCATAGTTATAAATCTCTTTTATAGCTCGCTTTAACAGAACTTTAAAACTTGTATAAAAATATAATTAAAATGGCAAAACCAAACCACTGTTTACTTTTTAAAGGTACCTTTGTAAGAACTTGTTTGACTAGCAATTATATTTTCTAGAAGTGTCAGTTGTTGAATTGTCTCGTTTTTTTCTCTCATGTTAGACCCAGAATAAAACTGCTTATGCTCACAGTGTGTACTAAGCCAGATGTGGTTACTGCTGATGAATGTAAAAGTGTACCAAATTGCTATAAGCCTTTTTTTCCTTTATAATTATAGTGTTAGTTTGAATTCGGGTCTTTTGGAAAAATATTATAAGTAGGAATGAGAATTTTTCATACGATATTGAAGCATACCATTAACAGTGTAATAAGCAGCATGTTTTACAAACGAGATGAAGTTTGTCATGTAATGAAAGGCAATTACACTGCCTTTTAATGTATGTTACTCTTTTTGGGACACAGTTACACTTTTTAAACAGAAAACTGCAAAATAAGAAAGCAATGCTTCATATTTTTATTAAAATTTTCTTAGGATATTAAGATAATCTTTCATGTAAGAGAAGATAACTTATTAGCATAGTTTTTCAGTTTAATATTCTTTTTTTAAAATTAATCTGATATAAAAAATGCATTGCTTCAAATGAAGTATACTACAAAGAGACTGATATTTTTAAGTGTGTGTATTTACAATTTAGAGGCGTTTCTGAAATATGTTTATCATAGGAAAAGTATTCCTAGGTTGATTTACATACACCTTGAGTTGCAGCTGACATTAACTGTTTCTAAATCCCACTGCGATGCAAATAGACACTAGAAGGGATTATTTTAGCAAACATAACTAGTGTTAGGGCAGTAATGAAAAGCCAGGCCTTATCAAACTCTGGTTGCAGTTTGCAGGAATATTCTAAAGAGCCTGTCTGCTCCAGGACTGTGTCACACAACTGGCTTGGGGTTTTTTTATTCTCAGTATTTGACTTAATTGCATTTTGCTTTTAAATCTAATGAATGGGAGGACTGCTCAGGCTGCCTGAATTGCCTCCAAGTAAACCAGCTGATTTTAATTTCTGTTAATTGCATTATTGGATCTCCCTGTTGGTAGTAAAATGTCTTGATATGCACTTAGGTTGCCCTGGGAGGGTATGTGTAGGGGATGTGGGATTCAGTTCGCTGCAGAAATGGTCTGTGATATATCCTGTGTAAGAAGGAAGACAAAGGTGCAGAAGAGAATTGGTGACAGTTCCTTATTCTGGTTTACGTTGTGTAATGGGAAGTTGATCTTTCTGGGAGTATTGGTGAAACTGGTTTGTCTGGGTTCTGCAGTGTCATCTGAAATGTGTAGGTGAAATGGCATGACCTCAAACGTGAATTTTTAAGTCTTTTGCTATGGAGCAATTCAGGATGAACGTGTGTGCAAGGAGCTATTCAGCCTGGACCATAGTGGGCAGGTTATTATTTAAAAATTGCTACTTAAGTACTTTGAGGACTGAGTAATTCTGCCAATGTCAGAAATTAAAAGTAGACCACCCCACTTTTATTCTATAGTTTGCTGTTTTACCATTTGTGCTTTTTGAAGTCATAGTGATGATGATGTCATTATTATATGGCCTTTTTACTGTGGAGGTAACCTGAAAATGTGTATATTAATATCAAGCACATGAATCTGGTCATGCAAAGCAACGTTCAGCCTGTGGCAGCATCTACCTATGTTGTTAGAAAGGAACCAGCAAGAATCTGGTCAAGATCACTCATACAAAGAGATTTCTGAGAAATGACAATGAACAATAAGATAATGGGGCACTTTTTTTTCACTTCTGCACCCTCTTGAGTGCAACTCTAAACAGCAGCAGAAATGTTACATCTACCTGCTGCCTACTGCCCGTGTATTCAGATAAAGCAGGCTGAAGAAATTTGTGTTTATTCTTTATCTGTCTCCCTTCTCCTTCCTGTTTTAGTGGTAGGAGGAGGTTATCTTCTACCTGACCAGTTCAGAGAGACCGTTCAGAGCCAGACTGTGCAAAGAACTACATATTTACAGTATCGAGATTAACAACTGACTTGAGTGGCCAGGATGAGGTGAAGATGAAAATTCCTCCTGTTTTGATGCTGGGTCTCAACAAACTGACTTGATGCATCCTGAACTTAGGTTTGGCATTTTTATGACTTTTTAAATAAAAATCTTGAATGTTGTGTTGGTAGGATGTGCAAAAAAACCCAAAAAAGGTTGGTGGTTTTTTTGTGTTGGTTTTTTTTTTTTTGTGTTGGTTTTTTTTGTTGGTTTTTTTTTTTTTTTTTTGCTATTTCTATTCTTAATTGGCAGAATGGAGAATCTGCCCACTGAGAACACTCCATTACTGGGTTATTGTGTGAGGAAAAGTGCTTTAAGTGTTCATGGAATGTTTATTCCAGGCATGTTTATCTGGAAACATTAACGCATTTCAGAAACTGTTTTGACCTTGACTCTCTGAGTGGCGTTAGATCAAAATGGTAATACTTTTCAGGATAGCCAAGTATGAAAATTTACTGTTTAAACCTGAGAAATGAACATGTTAGGAATGTATGTGCTGAAGATTTAGTGGAGTGGTAGTCATGGAGTCACCACTGTTTGGGATTAGAGTGCGATGCATTTGTTGTGATCTTGTAGCATCTTTGCCAACAGAGCTGGCAACCTCTTTGAAGGAGTTTATCCAAATGTGGGCTTACAACCCTCCATTTTATGTGGAATAGAGTGGATGACAAAATCCATAGCCAAACATTTTAAATATATATTTTAGTTTTTGTATGAATGCCTCTGAATTTTTAGGCAAATTAACTGTTTAAAACTAAATTGGTTCGTCTGTTGTGTTTATGAGATTCATTAACCAGGTTGACAGTATGAGATTTAAAATCAGTGTTCTGTAGGAACCTTTTCACGTTCGATTTGATTTTGGTAAAGATAGAGAGCCATGAGGAATAAATGTGATTGGAGAAACATCTTGGAAAGCACTTAGACTTCAAAAAAACACCAGGGAGATTGGTAAGACTGGGAGATGCCTCAATTATTACCCCAATGGCCCTTTTTTGTGAGGGTCCCCAGGCGTGCAAGAGTCATTACCATTCAAATAGCTATGTGACTCTCTGAGTCCAGCATGACAAGATTTTTACTCCAGGCATTTGCAGCACTTCATAATACTGCAGTTGCATGTACATTACACACACCATTTGAAAGGGGCGAAAATGTGGATGTGGAAACTAAATACAGTGTGAAAAGGAGATGTGTTGTCTGAGCTGCCCATGCTTACCTATTTACATATGTGCTTATGTGTTTCTGCGTGTGTGTACATAAACTCACAGACACTTGCGGAAGCCTGGTAAGTATTTACCAGCCAGTAGGAATGATTTAACCCCATTTTAAATTCTATTGAAAGATACCTCTGAGAGCTGTTGAAGTTTATTAAAATGGCAAACGTATTTCAAGTACGTGAACACACGCAGAAGTGGGTTAGTTATTTGTGTTCTGTTTCATCATAAAGCATAATGTGGAAGTGGCGGGGAAAATGTAAGCTGTTATAGAAGAGATGGGGAATGTTTTCAGTGATGTGAGTTAAGCTTGGAATATTTTGAGGCCTTGTTGAACCTGGTAATGGGTTGGGGTATCCCTCATACGCTCATTTGCACACCATTAGCTGTTATATGTGGGGAGCAAATGTTTGGCAGTAGCAGCCTTTATTTAGAAGAACAATGGCATGTAATGT